AATGCATCAGTAACTACGGACTGTCTTGTGTTTGGCAGCAGATGGCAATGTGTTGTGTTTGGCAGCACACCAGTTAAAAGCCAACGGGTTCTTGCGGGTCAGATCTTGGCTGGGTTGACGGGCTGAAATGTTGTTTCTCTAGTAAGAGCCCATCTCCCGTGGCCAGCCCTGTCCGTAGGCGAGATCTTGTACGACCAGTGCCGCCCACCGACGAAAGAACCGCGATGACTCGGCAGGTAGATCCGGCCCGCCCAGCCGGAGATGAATGACGCCCAGCTGTGCTGGCGGAATACGGGCCCCAGCGCAAGACCATTTCTGAGAAAGGCATCGAACACTTCCATGTGGCCTTCTGTGGTCTATCTTATCTCGTAACAGTCTGAGGTGACAACTTGGGTGTCGACATCGCTTTACAATGACATTTGCGGAGCGTACAAGCCAAGCCAACAGGCTGTCCCACCTAATCTGCATACGGCGGGGGGTCTGCGTCAACTGCAACCAACCGGGGGGGAGGGGGGGCGGATATCCATTTTCCAGACGGCGTATAAGAAAAACAAGGAAAGATTAAAGTCTCTACAAGTCATGAAGAGTGCACACCAAATATTAGTCCTTAGGTTCAATATCAGGTAAACAGGGGTTACGAAAGGTCAAAAAGGGCCATTCCGATAATCCTTTTCATCTTTAGATCTCATCTGAGTCGGTGGGCGGCACTGGTCGTACAAGATCTCGCCTACGGACAGGCTGGCCACGGGAGATGGGCTCTTACTAGAGAAACAACATTTCAGCCCGCCAACCCGCCAAGGTCAAAAACCTATATTAACATACCAAGACAGATGTTAAGGGTACGAAAATAAGCGTTAAGACAGTGGGAAGTCCATTCCAGCCATTTCTATTCCCCCACATGTGTGAAGACACAGCAGGTTACCGTTCGATGCTGGTCTACCTGTAGCCTACGAGAACGATTCTTTAAAAAATGTTCTTCTGACTTTGTGTGTTTTATTGGGTGCAGCTGTGAAAAAGATATTCCGAACATAAGAATTCAGTTTTAGGCTGACCTATTCGGATGACCTAAGGTCACCTGAGGTTTACTTTGGCCAAATTTTGGAGCCACCCGAGTGCACAAACTTGGAGTACTAACCGAGTCTACGTGATCAGTACAATGTTTTTCTGTGGTTAGAAACAGTGTGCTGGACATCTACGGATACTCAAGATCGCACAGCTGTTGTCTACATCATATGCAGTCACTTCGACGCTTGGCAATGCATTTGCAACAAACCGAAAACAGGTACGTTGCTACACTAAATGATACGCCATCGGCTTCACAAACACGACAAGGAGGTGGTCACGCACGTCGTGCTCGTTCATCTTGCGTCTCCGCTTCTGACAACATAGGTAGTTGACCTTGGGTGACCTTATGTAACCTTGCATGTCCTCAGATGACCTATCGTGAGCTCGTTTTGCATTACGATGATAGCACAAGATGTTTTGAGTGGAGTATTCGAATTCTGTGTTCGAAATACCCTATAAACTGCCTATTTTGAGCCCAACATGTGTTTTGCACTCGCACTCGTTCATCTAGCCTCTTCCGCTACTAGCAACTAGCAACATGGGCCAAGAGTCCTGGTTGACCTCAGATAACCTCACATCTCCTCACCTGAGATATTGTGACCTCCTTACTCGTTATAATGATATCACAGGGTGCTTTTAGTGGAGTATTTGAAATCTTCGCCAAACATTTACCTGAAAAAACTGCCCATTTCGAGCTTGACATGCATTTCACTAAAGGTATCCATAACGGTAGGTCATGACCTGGGTCAAGGTCATGCACTCTGCGGTCATATGACGGTTGTGCATGTACGTAGTAACTCTTTCCCTGACATACAAACGCCAGAGCCACACACAAATCGTACAAATTTGCGGTATTTACAAAAATAGCAAACTATGACCTGACTTTATGTCATTGACCTCACATTTTTCACAAGTTCTGGAATACCAAACCGTAGGTGCTATCATGTTCTTTTAGAATAATACGTGCAGGTTAGGCTACCGAACAGCCTGTGAAACAAACCCTGAAATAATATTTTCCTAGGTGAAATATGATTTTAGCTCTAACAAATCTTCGCTTTTGCGCGGTAAAAACTTCACAATTTTTGCATGAGCGAAAGAGACGCACCGTATCCCACTTTCATAGCTGTTAGTAATAAATTGATTGCATGGCGTTGCATGAAAATTTAACAGCGGCAGTGTGAACACTGCACCATGTGAGTGGGTATGCTGGATACTTTAAGCTGTTTCGGTCGTGGAAAAGTTGCTTTATGGATGTTTAAAATTGAAATTTTCGTGGTGCGCCGAGCGGTTCCCATTTTAGGCCCCCTTGTGCCCATGCAGTGCTGCAGTAGGTTCATACTGGAGCCTAAGCCGGAGCCGGATCTGAATTTTAAAGAAGTCTGCAACTCTAGTGCGCGTGAGGCCTGTGCCTGCGCGCGTGTGTATGTGCAGGGGACGGGGGGGGGCGTGTGTGTGTGTGTGTGTGTGTGTGTGTGTGTGTGTGTGTGTGTGTGTGTGTGTGTGTGTGTGTGTGTGTGTGTGTGTGTGTGTGTGTGTGTGTGTGTGTGTGTGTGTGTGTGTGTGTGTGTGTGTGTGTGTGTGAATATGTGTTTACGCAAGTGTGTGAGCGCGTAGATGTGTGCAATAAGTAATTGAGTTCTGACACGCCTGGCCTGTTGACCGGTCTGAGATGTTATTCGCAACCGCAAGTCCGGATAGTTTATGGAACTTGAATTCCCTATTGGACGTCAATAGAACGTCTTGTTTAACCTGTCTTGATTGCTGTTGGGCGGATGCTTCAGAGTCATCAGGGGTCGCCGAAGTCGAGAAGTCAAGAAGCCTTGAGGCGATCGGTTGGTTCTGAGTTAGCACGGAAGGCATTTACCAGCTTGGGACGTAATGAGAACTCAGAATCTCTAGATGCCTGTGACTGTCAAGGGCCCCGGATTTTGTGGAGGGTCCGGCATCACCCAGGTGTCGTACCCCTTATTCAATTCAAGGCATTCAAAGGGTCCCCGAACCACAAAAATCACTAGGTCTGTGGTGTGTAACAACGCCTCGGCATGACCCAGGGCCCAAGAGGGTTTCAAGATTGCCGAGGCGGGTAAGGAGAGCTCAAGATATCATGGTGACTCGAGCCGTTTAGTGACCGGACTGGCAGTCGTGCTTTCGGGACAAAAGGGTGGAAGAAGTTGCCCTTTGCCGGTTACGCATAGGTCACACACATGCTACGCACCGTCACCTGCTATTGGCTGGCGACAGAACAAGCTGTGGTCGATGCTGTAATCCACTGACCGCGCATCACGTACTGGTCGCTTGCCGCCACCTTACTGCAACGAGAGCGCAGTTTTTCGGACGCCACGTCCAGAGTCGCACGCTATGCGACTTTTTAGGGGATTCTTCGAACATCGTCGAGTTTGGTAAAGTGCTCCAGTTCCTTCGCGCTATAGATTTCCCTGTAATCTTTTCATCATGATGCTAGGGCCGATCATCATGGCTCTATAGGGTGACCTGATTGATGCACTTCTCTGATTGACAGCTCTGCATAAATTGATAGTTATGGGCGCTGCATGACCTTCAGCAGTCGATGCGCCCTAAAACCCCAAATCATCATCATCATCATCAGTGACCGGACGTCGGTGGTCGGGAGATCCCTAAAAGGCCAAGCTACATGAACAACATGCGCATTTTTATCGATATGAAATGATTGGGAGGTCCCATTCAAGTGTCCCTAGGAATGAACGCCGAGTTTAGAGTACAAGCTGGAACTACTAAAACCCTCGAAACAGATGTCTGTAAATATTGAGCCTGACTGACGGCACCCAGTTTGATCCAAGCCTCGTCCTACCCCCCCCCCCCCCCCACATCCCGAGGGGGGAAGGGCATTGCAGTGCTAGGCATCTAAGTGAACCAGACAGCAATCAGTTGTTGAGAAACCATGAGAACCAGAGTCAGAGTGATCCACAGAAAATAGACCACAGAGGCCAAAGAGAGAACGTTTTTGGTCGGCCAGAGTGAAAACAAATACACAAAAAACGAAAGGATGCGAGGCCAAAGTGCATTGCAGATATCTCCGGATTATTCTAGACTCGGTCCAGCCCAGAAACCATACCTTTGTCTGGAGGATCTCCGGAGACGGAAGAGCAGGTCCCCCGCCGTTCCCGAGGGACGGTAGGATGACTGCCGCCGGTACCGACGCCAGATGGGACGGTCAGCTGACGTCAGCTGACAGCTGACGGTCAGTGATATATATATATATATATATATATATATATATATATATATATATATACATGTAATGTAATAATATAATATCTGTAATATATTATATATGTACATATGTAACATATGTGTATAATACATGTAATATATGTAATGCGCAAACGCTACCGACAGCCGGCATAATGCTGCCATTACGAAATTAAGCGATGAAGGAAAGCATATTCCGGTGCACATCTCAAGTTCCATTTTACATGATTGCGCATGCCGTGACTAGTCTCTCAAGCTAAAGAAACAGATATGGGAACAGACCAAGAATAAACTTTTGTACCATCTTCGTTAGTCTCTTTCGTTACGCGATTCCTCGTGACCGAATTAAACAATGTCATGGTTATTTTTTTGTGACAGATCACGTCAGTTGCAACTGACAGACATGGCGTCCACGGCAAAACGGAGCACAAAAATGAGTTGGGCAGACAGCAGTTATGTCTTCGACGCGCCGAAGTCCTCATGGCACGGCCTGCAGCCGCTGGATTCATCCTAACACCGCCACACCGCATTGGCGCCAGCGACGTCGCACGCTGTCACTGTCAGCCGACGAGCGCGGTGGCGCGCCGCCGGCAGATCTGCCCGTGACTATGACGTCAGGCCGCCTCGGGCGTCGCGGAGAAGCCGGAGCAGTGCGCAGGGGCTGGCGGCGCCGGGAGGCGCTCGGACGCTTCGAGCTGCAGAAGTGGCGCAGACCGCGGCCGGGGAGCAGTGGCGGAGAGCAGTACCGATGCCGCCGACTCCGACGCTAGGTGAGCCGACAGCACGCGCACAGATGGACGAAAATTGGCATATCTATGCGAGCTCCCGGCCAAAGCACTTATATGGTCAATGCTAGCAAAATCAAAACAACCTTGGAAAACTTCAGCGCAATAATCCTTTAAAACACCTTTAGCTAGCATTTTAAGTACGGAAAGTAACAACATAAAGCCCTCGGTTCTATGCTGGAGAGATGCGTACTTGTCGGCAGAAGCAGGTACAAGGTGGGGGTGGGGGGGGGGGACAGGAAGGGGGTGTCGAACAAAAAAACGACTTGCTTTCCCTGCCTTTTCCCATTTTTTGCTCACCGAATTTCGGCCAAGCGAGGTTCGAATTGGCTAGAAAGGGTGTTCTTTGTTGTTGTAATGTGTATTATTAACGCCAACGCGTGTCCTGGTGTGATAACAGGTCTAAAAATCCTATTGCACCTTTTTCCACTTTAATGTAATGCTATTCACGAGACCTAGCAAAAAAAAATTATCGTGACTAAAATATCAGAAACAAATGTCCGCATTTACTTCACCTTGAATTTAATGATGAACTGACACATTACCGTCATGGAATCGTCAGAGCATTATCTACCGCACCTCAAAATAACCCCATCATTGACTATGCGTTGTTACAGAAGTGGCCCCGCGTCGTTACAGTAGTGGCTCCGCGTTGTTACAGTAGTGGCCCCGCGTGGTTGCAGTAGTGACCCCGCGTTGTTTGCACATCAGGGTTACGGTTCAACACCAGTGCTCTGCTGACCGCTATAGTGATCGTTTCGTTCTGAGTTTTAATGCAAGCTGAAAGATCGCGAATTGGATCGTACGCCACCGTTTTGTCACGTTTTTCACCATCCCACGTGCTTGCAGCTTCCAGTTGTGATATTCATGTAGCTAAAACCACGGGTCCACCGCTGACTAAGAATGGTGTACCATGAGATGGAGTTAACAGTAAACAGGTGGCACAGCTGGGTGACCTACAACCATAATCATATGATTCCATAGGCAGACCTTAGAACAGGGGGGGGGGGGGGCGTGGGAAGGTTATCTTGTTCTTTGGACCACCCGAGGTCATGGGAAACAGAAAGGCTTCCTTAAACCTCTCTTTTTCATTTCATTCCGGTCAAGAACAGAGGCAGTTGAATGTGTAAGTAGCCGAATCAATGCAAATATATGGGTGGGGGTCAAGTGTACGTCCCGCAACTTCAATGCGGATGCGCGTTTAGCTAGCCGAGTATATAAAGAAGGCACACTGTGCCTGTGTGCCTGTGACCTTCCACCAAGACGATGTGAAAGCCATTTGCTTTTGCTTGCGACAGATCATCATGTGCAGCGCGCTGATATCCGCTGCTTAAAAAGCTGAACATCTAAACGAAATATCTATGTCAATTAAGTCTAGCTCTGTGCACAGGGCTAGTCGGTAACGGCACATTTAGGTCATCTTTTCTAGACATGCAAAATATTATGCATTATAAACACGAGGTATCTCAAACCTAGATATGTCTGAGTGCCGTATTTTTGGTTAAGATAATAACCAAAGCCATAGTTATTGCCGAATTAGTTTCATTACTTTGGCAATTTATGTTTTGGTTATCGAGTTCAGAACAGCAAATTTTCACGGAACACCTGTAATGCACTGTATGCTAAACCCATAAAATATCACACCAATAAGACATCTCGTCCTGTTTTCAGGTATGGTGTATTACATGTTCAAAGTGTTGGCACCGGCGGCTCTATCGCACCCGAACGCGGTGTACGAATTTTTTTCTTCAAAAAGCTCACGCACTGAGCGATGGAAAAAGCTCGAATCTTCTAGCTATCTCCTGCATAAACATGGTCCCTCAAGAAGCCCCACGAAAGAACTCGTGAGGCTACAGGTCACGGGATGCAAGAAGCCCCACGGAAGAACTCGTGAGGCTACAGGTCACGGGATAAGTCGGCCGTTCCAGGTGAAGTCGGCGACTTATCACTTTGTCACCGATGTGATCTTGGAACTGTCCTAATGATTCCTGGGAACAATCAAGTATGCTTCCATCTTGCTGACACCACAGACTAGCACGCCTGCACGTGCGTGCTCTTCTTGGATGCTACCAGAGCTTCTGAAAGACTTGGTGCATCGCTGCATGTTCACTGTCGCCGCTCGGCTGTGTTCTTCCTTGAATCAGAATGTCCCAGTGAAGCCATGTCTGGTCATTACCATTCATGCGGTACTCTTCACGAAGCGTAGGGGCACTGCAGTATGATAGCGGGCATGGTTTGTGCCCAGTACACATATTCTTCCGAGTTAGCATCGTTACTTCACAAGAAAATGTACCTCGTTAGTGCATCGGAGATTGCCAGGAAAGTTTTATTCGAGCTTGAGTTTCGCAGTAAACCATCGACATATTACCATTCATTTCTCCGTGTCTTTGGGTTCGAGTTTTGAGGACACGCCGGTGTGATGTAGGTGCGATTTCAAGTCTGTTTAGTATCCTATGCGATCCAGTTCTGGGCGGTTCGAACTCTTGGCAGCAACCACGGATGAATGTTGTCGGACCACGTATGTCTGACGCCGCGAAAGTGGCATCAGATTTGGGCAGGAGGTCTTTAAAATTTGGGTGCTCCCGAATGTGTAGGCTTGCCCAGGGCTATAGAGTCCAGATTGTTCAACGTTCCATGAACTCTGAATTTGTACATCCAACGACAGATTGATGCCTACTGAAAACATTGTCTCTTGAGACCAAAGCGGCGTGCAAGTTGCGTGCAATTTTTTCTCGGAAATCCGCATCCAACTATGTTTTTTTTGGTTTCGCTGCAGTCATTGGCTGCCATCCTTCAGGGATTTCTCTGGATTCTGCTATGTTGCGTGGCAACTATCCGTGTACTTGCACAAGGCAGGCATCAAAGCACAAATAACAAATGTGACAACGATGAAAACCCCAACATTCGTGCGGCACCTACCCACCTAACGGCCTACCTGGACATGAAAACGAAGACCTGGAGATAAGCCTGTATTCGGCGATTTATGAGCAGTTTTTGTCTTCAGTGCTTAGCAATTGCAACGTTAACAAAATGATGATTCCACATTACTGCTGGATCGACGGAAATGTAAGAGTCTCCTAAAGAAGTGAGAAGCAAAATGACGTCGAAAAAGGCCCACTTTAACCCGCCTTCGATTTTCCCATCTGGGAAACATGGCTTTGTGCCCTGAATTACTGCCTTCGGAAAGTTTTTCATCTTTTCCTCACATTCCAGACACGTCTGTCTTCTTTCACCGTCGTGAAGTGGTTCAGAAATGTAAGGTTCTTCTATGCATTAAAATCTGTCATAGTATAAACCAGGACTGTTCCAAATAAACAATTCTCAACCTCAGTTCCTTCTGTTGCGAATTTTCGTCCTCCAGAGTCTACATTAGGGCGAAAATGATTACTTTATTGATTTGCGAAATGATTGCAAAAAATTGCCTCAGTGGCAATTTATGGTCACGTCCTTGTCTTCTTCAAGTATGTTTTGCAATAGCACCCAAAAAGTGAACACACTTTCTCCAGCTGGTGCCGATACCCACTTTATGTTTTCGAGTGTCTACATCAGTAGTTATTGCCTAGAAACTAACTTCGAGACTGCGACATGCCTGCACAACATTTCGAATCCAAAATATGTGGTTTGTGTTCAAGGAGTAATGATTACTTGGTCCTTATGTTGATCACTGTTCATATTCGGCATCCCCATTTTGACACCCGAATTTGCCGATGCGAAGAACTTCTGCATCACAGCCTTCATAAGCTGTTACCACAATGACTGCGATTGGCCATGAGGGTCACTACGTTTGTGTCTTAGCTCCATCTTACCTCGACCCTTTGATACGTGAGTGGCAACCCGTCGAGATGAAACTAGGCAGGTGCCCCATGGGCGGTCGCGTTGCTGTGTTTTTCATTATAACCGACATCTCTGTGGCTGCAAAATTGAGAGCCTGTGTTAGCAGCCGGGAAGGTTTGTAAAATCATAACCATATTTTGCCGTATATGTATGTTGACGCTCAACTTAAGCTAGCCTTTCACCAAATTTTGAATAACCACCGTGACCATGGGTAACGCTTTTTATAGTTTTGTGTGGTTTTAGGCATGAACGTAACCACGTCCCTACGATGGGGGAGACGGGGGAAATCAGCATTGGATAGGTCATTTGGAATCTGAGAAGGCGCAGTCTGACAGAAAGTAGTGATTTCAGTGGGAAAACAATAAAATGTGTTCATTCCTCAGGCAAGCAGAATGTCATTTCGTAAAGGTGGGGATATATCCCCCGGTGGTTAAATGCATGGTTCTAGGTGTGTTTATAAATGTCTATCTTTACTTGTTCTATTTGCGCCGATGGGAGCAAATATGAGGCGAGTACAGTTTATCGTAGAATACCTTCTTATAATTAATGCACCCAGATCAACTAAAAACATCACATTATACGGCCAGCAATCTAAAAATGCACATGCAAATCAAATTATAATATCGCTAATTTTGATTATAGAATTTCTAAACTACTCTCTGTTCATTTTACAACCTTTATGCTGCAGTGACAAATTGTTCTAGGGTGATCTGAACCTCATTGTAGCACATGGAGCAGCACCCTGGATGTACTCCCCACCCAAAACAAGTCACACCCGCGACCGCCACACGGCATTCATTACACGGCTGTCCAAGAATTATTTGCTTGCTGCCAAGAGCATCTTTGCTTGTTGGAAATAATATGCTACCGTGCATCGTGTAAAATGTATCACTTAGTATTTTTAGTGGACTTCTTATGATTCCATACGTATACCCTCGCTCTGATAAGGGAGGGTCATGTGCCGCCTAAGGTTTTTTATGGGTACCTCCGCGGTATGCTATGCAATTGCGCCGAAATTTCCGTCAGTGTCTGGGGCATCTGTTGCACGTGTTTTGACGCCAAAAAACGAGCCCCTAACATTTCTGGTCCCTGAGTAGCGACGGTTTATAGAACACTGCATGGAGATCCACCGCTGGAGCTGCAGCAACCGG